TGTGTGAGTACTTCAGTCATCAGCTCATTCCATTCCCAGACTTATTCTATCCGATTTCCATCCCCAGTTTCGCTGTGACAGACAACGCCTTTCGTTCGCTGATCGATGAGAATCGCGGACAGTGCGTGCTCATCTCTGGGGAGAGTGGTTCCGGCAAGACGGAGGCCTCCAAGAAGGTGCTGCAGTACATTGCCGCCTGCTCTGGCCACCAGACCACCGTCGAGGGTGTGAAGGATAAGCTGCTGAAGAGCAATCCCGTGCTGGAGGCTTTCGGCAATGCCAAAACCAATCGCAATGACAACTCCTCGCGCTTCGGCAAGTACATGGACATCCAATTCGACTATAAGGGTGCACCCATTGGAGGCAACATCCTAAACTATTTGCTGGAAAAGTCCCGCGTGGTGGCCCAGATGGGTGGCGAGCGCAATTTCCACATTTTCTACCAGCTGCTGGCCGGCGGTGATGATGCGTTGCTCCAAGAACTGCGCCTGGAGCGGACTCTGGATAGCTATAATTACCTCAGCGATGGGGTGAGTAGGGAAGATCACATAAGAGGAGTCTCCATCTACAATTCTTTGCGTCTGTTTCAGCTCAAGGGCAACCTTTCCAGCATCGATGATTCGCAGAACTTTAAGCAGGTGCAACAGGCATTGAGTGTCATCGATTTCACCGCTGAAGAGCAGCGCGAGATCTTTGGCATTGTGGCGAGCATTTTGCATTTGGGTAATGTCAACTTTGAGGAGATCGAAGGCAATGCTCAGGTCCTTAGTCGCGATCTGGTGGTCACTGTGGCCCGTCTGCTGGGCGTGAATGCCAGCGAATTGAGTGCCGCACTCACGCACCGCACCATCGATGCCCGCGGGGATGTGGTCACGTCTCCGTTGAACCATGAGCTCGCTGTCTATGCCAAGGATGCGCTGGCCAAGGCCGTGTACGATCGCCTGTTCTCGTGGCTGGTGCAACGTTTGAACATCTCGCTGCAGGCAAAGGAAACGCGCGGAGCCAGGAACAATGTTATGGGCATCCTCGACATCTATGGCTTTGAGATCTTCAACAAGAACAACTTTGAGCAGTTTTGCATTAACTTTTGCAACGAGAAGCTGCAGCAGTTGTTCATTGAGCTGACGCTGAAGTCCGAGCAGGATGAGTACCGTCGCGAGGGCATCGAATGGATACCCGTGGAGTACTTCGACAACAAAGTGATCTGCAATCTGATTGAGGAGAAGCACAAGGGCATCATTTCCATCCTAGACGAAGAGTGCCTGCGTCCGGGTGAGCCCACAGACATCACGTTCCTGCAGAAGCTGACGACCAAGCTGTCAGAGCATCACCATTACGTGTGCCACGAAAAGGCGCCCACACACATCCAGAAGATAATGCTGCGCGATGAGTTCCGTCTGGTGCACTATGCCGGCGAGGTGACGTACAGTGTCATTGGATTCCTCGACAAGAACAACGATCTGCTGTTCCGCGATCTGAAGGAGACGCTGAGCAAGGCGGGCAACAAGATTGTCCGCTCGTGCTTCCCCGAGCAGGAGCTGCGCAGCAAGAAGCGACCCGAGACGGCCATCACGCAGTTCCGCACTTCGCTGAACAACCTCATGGACATTCTGATGTGCAAGGAGCCCTCCTACATTCGCTGCATCAAGCCGAACGATCTGCAGTCCCCGGGCGTGTTCAACGATGAGCTGGTCCTGCACCAGGTCAAGTATCTGGGCCTCATGGAGAATCTGCGCGTGCGTCGTGCTGGCTTTGCCTATCGCCGTGCCTACGATCTGTTCCTGGAGCGCTACAAGTGCCTCAGCAAGTCCACGTGGCCAAACTATAAGGGATCTGGTGGCCCCAAGGCTGGCGTACAGCAGCTGGTCAAGGATCTGGGCTACGACAACGAGCAGTACAAGATGGGAGAGACGAAGCTCTTCATTCGCTGGCCACGCACTCTGTTCGACACGGAGGATGCCTATCAGGCGAAGAAGCACGACATTGCGGCCATCATTCAGGCCCACTGGAAGGGTCTGGTGCAGCGGCGCAAGTACCTGAAGCTGCGCGCCCAGGTCATTGTTCTGCAGAGCTACTGCCGCAGGCGTCTGGCCCAGCAGGCGGCCAAGCAGCGTCGCGAGGCAGCGGACAAGATTAGGGCCTTCATCAAGGGCTTCATCACGCGCAATGATCCGCCCAATGGCTTCAACGAGGACTTCATTGCCAATGCAAAGCGCATGTGGTTGCTGCGACTGTCCAAGGAGCTGCCCAAAAAGGTGCTGGACAAGAGGTGGCCCTCGTCTCCGGCCCACTGCCAGGAGGCATCCGAGTATCTGCATCGTCTGCATCGCCTCCATCTGGCGCGCATCTACCGCCTTGCCCTCACGCCGCAGCGCAAGCGACAGTTCGAGCTGAAGGTGCTCGCCGAAAAGGTGTTCAAGGGCAAGAAAAATAATTACGCACAGAGCGTTGCCACCTGGTTCCAGGACGATCGCATACCCAAGGAGCACATTCAGCGCGTAAACGACTTTGTGGCCAGCACCTTTGGCAGCGAACAGCTCAAGTATCAGTCCTTCTGCACAAAGTTCGATCGACATGGCTACAAGTCGCGCGAACGCTTTATACTGCTGAGCAACAAGGCGGTGTATGTGCTCGATGGGAAGACGTACAAGCAGAAGCATCGCCTGCCCCTCGACAAGATTGACTTTACGCTGACGAATCACAACGACGATCTGATGGTCATACGCATTCCCCTCGACCTAAAGAAGGACAAGGGTGATCTGATCCTAATCATTCCCCGCATCATCGAGTTCTGCACGTACATCATTGATACTGTGGGCACGGCCCAAATAGTTTCCATTGTGGACAGGGATTCGTAAGTTACCCCAAAAAGAGTGCCCTGAAATGGGGAATAATCTGTTAATTGTTGTACATTTTTTCCTTTACAGATTGGAGCACAATGTGGTCAAGGGCAAGGGCGGTATCATTGAGTTCCAAACGGGCGCCGAGGCTGGAGTTTTGCTTGATAATAAAAAGCTTGTTGTTGTAAGTGCATCTAGAGGCTATAAATTAACAAGTCAACAATGTTTAATCTCTATTTCCATTGCAGATTAATACAGCATAAGGAATTTACTTGACATTCTATGAAAAGTGGCTTTAAATCAATTGGGAAGATGATTTGATTGTTTTGTTATATTCGTGTAATTTATACTGTGTACTTGTGTATGTTTGTTAAAATGAATTTTATATTCTTCTACATGTTCCGACTAAATGTATATTGTTTATATAAAGATATACCATAAATATATATATTAGAGCTTATATTAATCCTTAATACGTGGCTAAATTGCTAGTTTTTCGAGTGCATTCAAGTTCAAAAAATGTGCTAGCGACAAGAAGTTCTACTTATCGCAAAAAACTACCGATACTTTTCCTGCTAGTCAATGTATTGATAAGTGGCATCCAGTGTGACCGTGGTCGGGATAGGTTCAAGATATATTTAGAAAATAAAAAGGTGGTTTTTGGTATTTTCATCAGATCAGGCGGCATATATTATCTTTAAATCCGCGGTCACACTGGTCACATCCCTACACTTTTACATAATCTTGAAAAATCCGTGTAAATATTGCCTTATAATTGTTTATTGCATTGTTGAAGTGCAGAGCAGGAACCGCCTTTAATCCGTGCACCATTTCTGTTGCAGGAGAACCACAATGTCGTTCACACAAATCGCGCGCAACTGCGGTCGACTGGCAGCGACACTGGGCACCAAGCGGATGGCCAGCGGCGCCGTGATCCAGTCCCAGGCGTTCAGGATGATGCACAGGATTGCCGTGCCGGCCGTGGCCAATCAAGTCAGCCAAGTAAGCAAAAATAGCAGAGGATTGGTGGTATTGTGTGGAAGGGACACCACAAGTTATATCGATTTATACCTAACCTCATTGTAAATGCCCGTCGTTGTCAGAGATTGCGGGAATGCAGGCTCTGAAAAGGTGTCTTGGGTTGTACGGGGTGAACATGTGCTTCCAGAGAACAAACTAAATGATTGCATCACAATGTTTTGCATTAAAACATGATTGTATCACACATATGCACAGTCACCGGCCTGCAGCTGTGTGTGTGAATGTCAGGTGTCTGTGTGCTGTGGGTCGAACCATAATAAGTTGCATTATCAATATTTTACAGAAATTCGCACTACGTAGCTATTCCGCCAAGCGCACCATTGAGGACATCAAGTTCCGTGTGCTGAAAGTTGTGTCCGCCTACGACAAAGTGACGGCCGACAAGGTAATCTATAGCCCTTTCGAGGATCCACTAACTTGGTTGTGTGTTTCGTTCTTGTCTCTGTAGGAGTTGGCCTCGAGCAGATGTCGCTGGCAAACGCAATCGGTGCGCAGATACTCGGCGAAACCGCCATTGTCGCTGAAGCTCATCAATGAGCGCGTCTTGCTTGTGCTGAAGCTGTACGACAAGATCGATCCCAGCAAGGTAAAGAAGATCAAGACAAATGCCACACATTGCCTTTGCCAGTTGATTTATAGCCACAAAAAAAAAGAACTGAAATTCACCCAAAACCATTTCGATTCCAAATTCGTGGCTAATGCTACTGTTTCTTCTCCCTGTTGCAGTTGAACGTCGAGTCCCATTTCATCAATGACCTTGGCCTGGACTCTTTGGACCATGTGGAGGTTATTATGGCCATGGAGGATGAGTTTGGATTCGAGATTCCAGATTCCGATGCCGAGAAGCTGCTTAAACCTGCCGACATTATTAAGTACGTCGCCGACAAGGAGGATGTGTATGAATAAAATGTAATAATTGTACTGCAAAACCATGAAACAGATTAAACTTTAATTTTAAATCGAGGAGAGGTCAAATACAATTTGAACAACTGAATAAAACCAAATGTTAATTAATATTTTCCTGTGAAAAATCAGATGAGCAGGGCAGCATGTCTTTGTACCCCAAAACGCTCCATTCAAATGCGATAACTAGTTTCGATAATTACTGTATATCGGAGTAGGCCGTTCACCGTAGCAGATGCAACTCTGCGGGCAAAACAAAAACAATTCGAAATATGACTGATGCTGTGCACGATTTATTGGCGGGCCTTGGTAAATAATAAACAAAACATGCCTAGGATCAGTGTAAATTGTATTCCTTTGCAGTGGCCAATCGCCAGACCATGCAAAGACAGTCGGCCATCATCGACGAGATACTGGAGAAGTCGAACAACACCCTGATCCACATCGAGTCGCGAAACAAAGCCCTCGCGCCGGCCACTGCTGCGCAGGAGCAGGAAAAGGTGTACAACGTGAAGCCGGCCTGTAAGCAGGCGCTCGTCAAGATATTGCAGAACTACAAACAGCTGATGCAGCAGCACAGAGACGAGCGTGAGGACAAACACAGCGCTTTGGATGGCTGCCTGGCGTTCCGTCAACGCGTCGAGCAATTGGCCAGTACCATGCGCAAGCTGGTGGCCCTGTGCGATACTGTCCACCAAATGAAGGTCCACCAGGAGGATCTCGAGGCAGAGGACCAGGACTCGCCATAGTATATATTGTAAACTAGTTGAATAATAATAAATTATAAATAATGCTTCTCAGGCCGCAGTGTAGGAGCTTATTTGCATCAGAGTGAAGGTGAGGATATCCACAAACATCTCCAGGCGTGCCACCAGGCTGCCGCCAGCAACAATATCGCTGGGATTCGGCAGCTGCAGGCTATTGGAGCGCAAGTAGTTCAATTCCTCCATGTTTTTGGCTATTTCTATCAGCTTTTGCTCTTCGTCTGCTGTGAACGCATCTGGCGGGGCCTCTCCCTCCGTTGGCATTAACTTTTCTATCTGCTGGGCGAACGTCTGGAGCTGCGCAAGCTTCTTTGCATACACGGACTCGGCCTTCTCAAGCTCGGCTGCCTCAACGAAGACCTTGGCCAGCTTCTTTTGGAACCCCTTGAACTCGTTGTACACCTCGACGGCACTGCGCTGCTCCTCGAGGCGTTTCATGGACTCGCACAGATCCGGCTGATCCAAGGTCGCAGAGCGCTGCAGCTCCCGCTTCTTGGGATTCTTCTGCAGGTTGCTCGGATACTCGTCGAGCACCTTGAAGAGCTCCGCATATTCGGCCACCGTGCCCAGGTCCTTGGTTGGTGTTGTTGTCGAGGCCTCCTCCTCCAGCATTTTCGGCAGGCTATCGAAGAACACCGTGGGCTTCATCACCGACTTGGTAACGCACAGATCCTTCAAGCACTTTACATGCTTTACATACTTTTCGTTCCTTAATTTTTCTGCAAACTGCCCAAAATCTATCTTGTTGGCTTCCATTTTCAGTCAAATTTCGTATGTTTTGCGTGTTTTGTTTTGAAATGACTTGTGCCGCCACTGATGCAACTTTGCCGACTAAAGCCTATCGTTAATCGGTATAGAGGTGGGAAAATTGAAATTCAATTAGCTTAGTATTTTTATTAAATGAACAATTTCAGACTTTCAATGGAGGAGTGGACCGGGTGGACACCGTCACCCGTACTCGGACTGAATGGTGAGCGAGAACTGCCCCTTGGGTATGGTATTGGCATGATACCAGAGGCGTGTATCCACCAGAACGGCATCTCCGGGCTCCACATAGAAGGAAAACGGCTGACACTGATGATCGCATTCGGGAGCAGGAGCCAAGTACCAGCTCTTGTTGCCCTTCAGTTGCGCTTGCCACATCAGTCGCGGTATGTACTCCAGCTACAGGTAAACATAGAATATTAATGAATCTATCAGAGTTTTTCTCCATCTTACATGCATCACAGCGCCCTGTTCGTAGCCCATTAGGATAAAGTCCGTGTGCGGCATTTCGGCATCTTCGGGCAGGAAATGTGGTCGGGGATAGAGTTTCCTTAGCTCCGCGAGCACTGTAGGATGGCAGACACTCCATCCCACAAACCAAGGTGCTCCCTGGCTGAGATTCGATCGCCCCAAGGGCATCTCGAAGATCTCTTTGAGGGACTTCATGTCCGAGTTGAAGTGCTGGAATTGGCACATGGAGTCTGTGGAGCCGGGCACACTGTCATACAGATCCCTGATGTAGCCAAAGCTCATCCTCTTCTGCGCTGGCCAATGGGCCACAGCCTTCTTCACAATGATGGGCAGGGAGGAGTATGCGTGGGGTGCAAACTCTTCGCGAGTTAGGTTCGACAGAATCAGAGGACCTCGCACGCCCTTGCAGAATGAACAATCGCTGATGGGCCGCGTGGCCTCCCACACCAGGTAGTTGTTGGGCAGAAAGCAGCGCACACCGAGCAGAAACGAGATGGTCTCGTAAAAGACTGGCGTGGCCACCAGTATGAAGAAAACGATGCCCACTAGCCAAAGGTGATTCAGGCGATTGGGATTGAGGTTTATGTCGCGGGTCTTGCGATAGGCCTCTTGCAAATCTTCCATGGACACCAGACCCGTCCTAAGGGCATTCAGATGAAGTGCATCCAACCTGCCGGCCACATCCTCGCCGAGACGCTCGCGAATCGCCTGCATGCGACTGCCCAGCGTCCCCATGGGACGGCTGATAAACTGAGGGCAAGGTCAGCCATGTAAGAAGTGAAATTAGCTGTTTTCCTTGGGTTTAGCTCACCAGAAACATTATTATTGACTTTTATTTTCGCATCGTCTCTGTTTTGATATTTTTTTGTACGGTATGAATGTACGGTATATTTCGGTATATTCCATTCCCAAGGAACAGTCGCTAGAAAGTAGTTTGTGCGCGACAACATTTCCTATCGAATATCTTCCCTGATTTTGCTAGCGGCCCCTTTTGTTCGATCTGAGTACTAGGCTATTCACGCAACGTTTTCAGCTATTTTTGTTTGTAGACCTTTTAAGTTGTAAACTTCACTTGAAAACATTACAATAAAATGAAGTCTTGTAGAGAATCGATTGATAAATCACAACATCAAATAGAACATCAAAGTCGAGGAAAATTATTTAAGATTTCGGTATATTTACAGTATATTTTGAGAATGCAAAGGTATATTTCGGTATAATTGTGGTCTTGCGGTATATATATATATATATTATATGTTATATATAAACAGGCCCCACGATATAGCCCCATTTGTCTTTCTGTTTTGCTCGGACGTAGTATCGGCCAGCGAAAAATCCAATTGATTCTCAAATCGAATTAAGCAGCTGATTAGTACAAAGCCAACGTGACAATAATCCAACCATGTGTCTGGGATAGTGCGTGCATTTAAGGTTTCATTCATCGTTCATCTTGGCAAGGCTCTCTCTCCCTCTATATACTCGCAACGTGACCCCGAAAGCTGTCCCCGCGCGCACACTTTCACTTTACCCTGCTCCACGACTTCCAGCCACCTCAACAACACAACGAACAAATAACGTAGCATAAACAAATTATTGTGCAATACTATCTAGTTAAAATATAACTTAAAAGCATGTCTGCGCAAGAAAAGGTCATTCGAGTGGGGTCGCGAAAGAGCGAGGTAAGTGGACTAACGACAGTGCAAAGTGTTGTAAATATGTGCATGTGTACAATGCATCCGCTTTGCATTGAATTAATATACACATTTTCTACATTTGAATTTCAATTACATTTCGTCTAACCCGTGGCAAGCCCCCTTCCTCCCTGTCCCTATCGCTCTCTCTCGCTCACGGGGCCCGCATTTATGCAAGAGTTTCTGTTTTTGTGAGAGACTTGTTGCTTGCCTTCCCACTCCCCTCACTCATGCTTGGTGTCTATGCTTTTTCGTTACTGTTACACAATTCGCACAGCAACAGCAAAGGCAAGCACTTTTAGGAGCAGAGGGTAAAGGAGCGATATGTACTCGATATGTGTTTCTTTTCTCTCACGATCTCATTTTTTAAGTCGCCGCCTTGGCTTAAAGTGTCTGTGTGTGTGTGTGTGTGATTGAGAGAGATTGTATTTTTTTGTTAATTGCAAGCGGAGCCACTTTTGGCACTGTGAGCACAACTCTACACGAAAACAAATATGAAGGCCACCTTTGCTTGATGGAATTTATATTTGAAATTACTTTGCTGCTGCTTTTTTGATTTTTAATGGCCAGCCGCTGTCGCTTTACTTAGCCCCAATTCCACCTCTCTCACTTCACCTCCCCACACGACTCACCATCAGGTTCATTTGCATTTAGCATTTAAGTAGCGCGCCAATTGCAAAGCAGCAATTGATTAATTATTTTCTCTTTACTTTTGCTTACAGCTGGCTCTCATTCAAACCAAACATGTCATCGGCCGACTCCAGAAACTGTATCCCAAGCAGAAGTTCGAGATACGTAAGTGAAAGTGGGCTGGGCTGGGTTGGGTTGGAAAAAAAGCAGAACTCATGCCGCGTTGCGTTTGGGAGGCTATTTATTTCAAATATTGTCTTCGAAGCATGACTTGCTCTAGTCGCTTGTAGCCGTCTTATCGTTATTTTGATAGTAACTAAAACAAATGTTTCGCTCGTTTCGAATGGATTGCATATGATTTGCTTTAAAGGTGCCAGCCGGTTCTTCTCCTTCTTCAATTTGGTCTTCCGTTACGAGCGTATCGCTTTCTCACTCTCTCACGTGCCATTTTGGCAAAGTTTTGCTCAATGTCAATGCTGCTGCGGTTTTGTTTTTTGTTTTTGAGATTAGGGCCGAGCGAATGCCGAAATGTTATGCCATAAAACACACACACATCGAACCAGTCTCTCTCTCTTACACCAACGCGTGTGTTCATGTGTATACATACATCCGATCTGATGGCAGCATTAACTTGCGTTCGTTCTGCCGATATCGGAAAAATTGAACCGATTAGATATTCAGCAACATTATCTGTTGAAATAACAAGGAAATCTTTTGAAATAAACATTTTAATCAGACATTTTTTTGAAGTACCGATTGATAAGATTTGGTATTTAAAGGGAATATTTTTAGAAATATTTTGAATGATTTATATTGAGTTTAGAGGTAATTTGCATATTGGGGGAGCATTCCTTGGCGTGATGTCATTTCCTTGATCGATATGCGATTAAAATATGACTCAAACACGCAACATCCTCTTCTTGCCACTGCTCTACATACATAAAACAAATATTCAAATTACATTCAGAGTCAGGTTGAGTACCCGTACCCAACCCAACGATAAGCAAAACATTCGCAAAATACATTATCATTGCGTGCTGACGATAGCGGAAGAGTGAGGGAAGTAAAGTGTCAAAGATAGATATGGAGATACTTCGATGGTGGCATGGCATGTCTGTGGCTTGATTGTTGTCATACTCGTAATTCTGGAACGGAAGGGGAACGCTACCGTTTGCCCCTTATCTAACAGGCGAGAATGCAATTAAGGGGTACACAACCCTTCAGAGATGCAGAATATGCTAGGACTAGCCTTTGAAATATCCGTAATCTAGAGTTTCCAATAATTTAATTATTTTAATCCTCTCTACAGACACCATGTCAACGTTCGGGGATCGTGTGCTCAATGTTTCACTGCCCAAAATTGGTGAAAAGAGTCTGTTTACCCGTGACCTGGAAGATGCTCTGCGGAATGGTGGTGTGGATTTTGTGGTTCACTCGCTGAAGGATCTGCCAACCGCACTGCCCACAGGCATGGCCATCGGAGCAGTCCTAGAGCGTGAGGATGCACGGGATGCTCTGGTGCTGCGGGATAATTTTCAAGACCACACAATAGCCTCTCTGCCGCAGGGGAGTGTGATTGGTAAGGGATTAAACTATGCATATTCAAACAGCGATCTTATTTAATCTCAATTTCAGGTACTTCCTCGTTACGTCGCACGGCACAGATCCGACGGCTGTATCCCCATTTGATCGTTTGCGATATTCGAGGGAATCTGAACACGCGACTGGCGAAACTCGATGCTGCAGACTCCAAGTTTGCTGGCATTATACTCGCCCAGGCGGGTCTCGTGCGAATGGGATGGATGAACCGCATCAGCCAGGTGCTGGAGCCCACCGATCTCCTCTATGCCGTCGGACAGGGCGCCCTGGCCGTCGAGTGTCGTGCGAACGACGTCCAGGTGCTGGGAATGCTGCAGAAACTGATGTGCCTGAACACCACTTGCCGCATTCTGGCGGAGCGGAGCTTCCTCAAGACATTGGGCGGTGGCTGCTCTGCCCCGGTGGCTGTTTGGAGCAAACTTCAGGGCGAACCGTTGAATGCCAGCAGTCAGGATGTGGACCTGTCCCTTACGGGCGCTGTCTGGAGTCTGGATGGTGCCATTGAGATCCGAAACCATTTGTCGTGTGCCTTGAACGAGAAGCAAACGGGGAAGCGTGGATCACAGCAGGAGGAGCAGGACAACAGCAGCAGCTGCGACTCACCGCCGGCTAGCAAGCGACCAAGGAATGGGAACTGCAGCTCGGGGGGCTCGTCGGGCTCCTCCGATTCCAACTCGAATTCCAGTAGTCCACCCCGGCCGCAGGGCAGTCCACCGGTGATCTGTGAGGATGTGGTCGCCTGCGAAGTTCTGGCGGGCTACAGCGTGGAGCAGTTGACGGATCTGGCCAGCCACTGCCCTGTTCTGAGCAACAACATCACTCTGGGCGCCAGCGGAGATGCAGGAGGAGGCGATGCCGACACCACCAACGCCAATCGGTGCCCAATGCAACGTGATGTGGTCCCCCATTCGGGTGGCGATGCATCAGGAGATTCAGATACATCTTCCAATGTAAATCCAACTCCGCATTGTCCCCTGCAGATGCCAGTGGGCGTGGACTTTATGGGCGAGTGCCCGTACGTGAACAATGAGACGAAAATCTCATATGCCAAGGCCGGCAAATGTCCAGTGACCCATGCAACAGCAGCGGCGGCTGGGGCAGTGCCTGCTCAATCGATTCTACCCACTCCACCGAGCAGTCGGGCCAGCGTTGGCAGCAGCATCGGCGATGAGTTGGACAATGTGGCAACGGTGTCTTCCAAGTGCCCCTTTGCGGCCATGCATCAGGGCAGTGGCCTCGAGGCGCCGACCAAGGAGACTGGAGCACCCCCAAAGTGTCCGTTCCTCCAGAAGACAGTGCAAATGTTCGACTACGCAGATGAGGAGCAGCCCAAGCCGCAGACGGTTCTCATTGAGGATGTGGAGAACCTCTTTTGCGGTCTGTACCAGCATCCATGCTACAGCCGATTGGTGTACGAACGGGCGAATCTGCTGGGCAAATCACTCGCCGAGGAGCTGATCAAAAAGGGGGCACTGGATGTGATGAAGATTGCACAGGCAGAGATCCATGGCAAGGTGGGGACCACCCTGACGACATCCTGAAGACAGGAGAGCAGGACTCCATTATCATTATCGTTATCATCCTTTACATTAAGTAGAAAAAGTGTAATTAGATAATATTGTGTGTTGTTTACATTTTCCATTATCATTTTCATTGCTAGAGGTAAAGGTTGAAGTTGAGCAATTCCCCCCACCAAATCCTGTTTTTAAAAATGTTTTCTGTTGTGTTTTTCGCTGGGAAATATAAGAAGTGAAGCAACAAAAAGTTTCTATCGAGCGTCCAAATTTATTTCTTAAAAACGATTTCAAACTAAAATAATTAATTGTACATTCCTTCAACAATGTACCTGGCTACATTTAACAAAAAACAAAAATGCCTTCTTCGGCATGCCATGGCATTTTTCTTTACTTTTCTCTTAATCTGAGTGTCTTGTGGCTTATCTCTTGCTTATCTACCACTGATGACGCCTCTTCAAGTGATCCTCCAGTGATTTTACAGTCCCGAAAACCTTTGTGCACTTGCGTACGCCACATGGCAGGTTGGACTCCTTGGCCTCCCCCTCGCACTCGCCAAAGTGCACGACGTAGCTCTGGCGTGTGTGATATTTGTTAAGGCAGTTGCTGCACTTGAGTGACTTTCCATGCATTTTGGCAATGTGCGATTCAAGACGTCGCTGCGACTTGACGCTCTTTGGGCACTGGCTGCAATTGAACTCGGATTCTTCGGTGTTGGTGGACTCGCAAGTGGAGGTCAACATTTCACGCTTGTGTGGTTGCACTGAGGGGTTTACTGCATCCATGTCGACGAAAGGGTAGCTCTGCGATGCATTAATGATGTTGCCATTCGAGATGTTGGCAGACTCCGACTCCTTTCGTTCCTTTATCTTTTTGGGACGAGGGAAAATCCATTTTTCTGCGTCTGACAAGAGCGAGACTATGGGCTCCGCTTGGCTTTTCTTGGGCGAAGACACAGCCTCATCTTTGAGGGTCTCGGACAGCTTCTTGCTCTTTTTGGGCGAAGGCACAGCCACATCATTGAGGGACAACTTCTTGCTGTTCTTGGGCGAAGGCACTGCCATATCATTGAGGGTCTCCGACAGCTTCTTGCTCTTCTTGGGCGAAGGCACTGCCACATCGTTGAGGGTCTCGGACAGTTTCTTGCTCTTCTTGGGCGGAGACACGGCCCCATCAGCCACATCAATGAACTCGTCTTCCGCTTCTTTATTCTTGCTACGCTTGCTGGAAGGTCCATCTGCTCGTATTATCTGCCGTTTGGAAGATCCTTCTACATCGGGATAAGACGCATGGGAGCTCAAATGATAATTTAGCGACTGTTTGCTGGCCAGTGACTTTTCGCATTTGTGGCACTTGAATATCTTTGGTTTGTCAATGCCATGGGACGTGGACATGTGTCGTTGCATCGTCTTGACGGACGGCTGCTCGGCATCACAAATGCTGCAGGTAAGCTGACTACTCGACGGTATTGGCTCGCCGTTCGGCTTTGGCGTCGAGGCACTCGAACCATTGATGGCAAAGGTGTAGTCCACGTTGGCAACACTCTTGTTCTTTTTGTGCTCGTTCAAGGCTCTGATGCCGGTTATTGACTCATCATGGTCTTCGTTCTCCAATGGTTTCAATGGAGTTTGTACCTTCAGTGAAGTCTTCTGGGATTTTACAGGAGTCTGTGGCGTGGATGGTGTCTGCTGCTTAGCTGGTGTCTGTGGCTTAGAAAAACAAGTATGTTGCTTAACAAGCGAAGTCTGTGCCGGGACAGAACTCTTTTCCTCTATAATTTCGATATCATCGTCAACATCCTCTGCGGAAGGAGTGTTGTCCACTTTCACATTAACTACAGACTTTCTCCTTTTCTTCACAGTCGGCACCTCCTTGTCGTCAGTCTTAGCCCGGCCAGCTGCGCCCTTATCCTTTGGCTGCTCTTCTATGCCATGGACAGTCTTGGCGTGCTCCTTGAGGGTTTTGGCAACCCCAAACGACTTGGTGCACATTGGGCAAGAGTAAATCCTGGGACGCATCTGTCCATGGACTTGAATGTAATGCTGCTTCATTAGCTTTTGTAGCTTCACTTTAAAGTCGCAACGACGGCATTCAAATATGTCAGGAATAATCACGTTGTTCTGCGGCAGTTCCTTCTCCTCCGCTTCGCTCTCCTCCTCCTCTGAATCGGCAGCAGTAGCGGCAACGGGACTAAAAAAACTCAGCACTGAGTTGTTTTTCTTGTCAATTGTTTTTGCTGGCTTCAATACCACAGAGTTCTCAAGAATGTCCGAGTCTGTCTTTCCTTTGGAAAGTTTAGGCTGTTCTGCCTCGAATATAGCAAGCGGCTGCAATGTGCCAAGACCAGGCATAGATAAGCTGCGCTTCTTGATGGGCTGCTTTTTCTTTTTTACCTCCTCCTCAGACTGCACTACATCTACTTCATCGTTGATGGCGTTCTTTTTTTTGCCGCCCGAAGTGGAGAGGCCCTTGTCGACAAATTCCTGAATTTTCTGTATTGTGCGCTCGCATTGAACGAATTTCGAGAAGCAAATGTAGCACACCTTGATGGCCAAAGTAGGCGGTATCTGGAAAAGAAATTTGTTCCAATTATCTATCCCGTAGGCCGCCCTTTTGTTGCTGTTTTCTGTCGCCTGTACTTACATTACGTTGTGTGATGGCGTGTAGAACATCGCTAACTTTGTTGCCAAAATACGCCTTTTTGGACGATAAAATCTGTGCGGGTTCATTGCTACTGCCGCAGTAGTCGCAAATTACTTCCTTTTTGGCATTCACCATATTGTTTAAAACAATATATTATAGAAAAACAATGAAAATCAGCGCGATACGCAGACCTGCACGTTTTTTTAGTAACCAGTGTGACCGAAGTGTGATAAAGTATAGCGTCTGAGCCTACAAAATATACGATCATAAATAGAAAATTAGGTCTTTCTTTCCCAACACTGATAAGTTTCTAGTTTAAATTTGTTTTCCAGTTGTTTTGGCGCCATAAAGTAAATGAATCGATAAGCATTAATTTAAATAATTTATTGAATACAATAAAGTTGCGTATGAGTTGTTTCTTTTGTAAAATGTTTTTCAAATATTATTTTCTAAAATATGTGACTTTGTACAAAATACTATTTATACATAGATATACGCCGAAAATTGTTCCTCTCCATTGCACACACTCGAATTGTTTCACTCATTTTTGTTTTTGTTCTTGCAAAGGTTTGATTTGATTTGATTTTAAATTGAAAATATATTAGTCCATGTGTGTGGTGTGTGTGTGTGCAGTGACGACGTGCTCTTAGTGTGAATTATATTTTTGTTTCGACTAAATAATAGCTAGGCCATAAATGTACAATTTATATGGTGGATTTCGGTGGATTTTCAAGGGGGTTTTGGATTCAAGCAGGATCAAAGAAGGTGAGCAAAATAAAATTAATTTGCAAAGGCCGTTTATTTGTAAAAAGCAGGGCAAATCAATTATGAAGGCAAATTCTATAAATCATTTTTAATTAATTAATTAACAACTAACTTAGGAGTGTATGACAAAAAGCATTTTCCTATTCCAATGGCAGCGCCACGAACGGGACGAGGGGGTTGGGCGGGTCTTAACCACTAAGCATTGCTTGTATTTGTAATGGGGGATGGGTTGGGGGTTGAGGATAAATGAAAAGTGTAGTGATTTTTGCTGGTACAAAACGAGGAAGAGGGTCGGTCGCCATTGATAACGTTAAAAGCTAAATTAAGTCTATGACCTATTTATTTCTTTACTTAAATATGCATGACGCCACACAGAGGCCACTACCGTCGCATCGTTGCCCAATCTTCGTCTTCGTCGTCACCGCCAGCTGCATGAGCTCCAAACTTGCAATCACTTTAGCATCATTGTCCCTAGTACTTTGAGGAGTGAGTTTGTTGTTGTTGGTTGGTTGGTTGTTGTTGTGGTTTCTGTTCTGTTTCTCTGGTTGTTCGCGTCTAGGTGGTTGAAGGTCCTCCAGCCACTGGTTCGTCACCCTTTACGGCCGAGGCATAGCTGCCACTGCCACTGGCACCGCCACCACCACTTGTGGAGCTGCTACTGCCGCCCGGCTTGTCAGTGGCTGTAGATTTTCCATCAGCACTTCCACTAGCACCAGCACCAACGACACTGGGGGGAACGCCAGCAGCACCGCCAATGCTCACGCCACTGTTCAGGCCTAGAGTTTGAGGTGAATCAACTAGAGAATTTGTTTCGATTGTTTGTGTCGGTTAGGATTGTGTTGGGTCTTTGTGGATTTTGTGTGCAATTTGCAAACTGTTCTAAGCACCTTTAATATCCATGGCATAGTGATCCTCCAAGCGCAGATCGTGCCGCTTAATCAACTGGCACTCGGCACCCTCAATCGATGGTATGGAATACACATAAAGATAACCATCCTGCGAGGCAATCAAGAGTCTGCAACAAATACAGGAAACAGCATTAATTTGATAATGGATTGGATTTTTCATTACACTCACCTGAGCTGCTTTTGTATCGTGGCAATGGCGCACATGCGACGCACTCCTGCCTCGGGCAATGAGACCGAAGCAAAAGCCCGTCCCTGGCTGAACACATCGGTCACCTGCGTTGGCAGGTAGCTGGTGACCGTTTTGCTCAAGAATCTAAAAAACGAGTAACTTGCATGAGAGAGTAGATTTTGGTGAGTTGAGTTGAGTGGTTGGTTGGTTGTTGTTGTTGTTGTGGTGGTGTAGGTGGTGGTGTTTTTTGTTTTGAATGAAAGAAAAGAAAAATAGATAAATGTCAAAGCGCCAGACAAAACAAAAAGGAAGAATAGAATATGTCCGAGGGGCAACGCTAACACACCGAAAAATAAATGAAAGATTTTATAGAAGTGAAGTGTGGAGTGCGAAGTCTGTTGTGGAATGAAATGGAGCACACACACCCAAAATTAGATGACCTGATCCTTGCCCATAAACCGTACAAATACAAAATACAAAACACAGGAGTGACAGTGACCTGACCCAGCTTATACGCTTACCCCATCCAATCATCGGTGGATTGCTTCCCATGATCGGCTGTCTCGGCAGCGCTGCGATCCAAGCGAAAGATGTGCACAGTCTCCGTGTTGGAGCTGGATACCAAGTACTCCGAACAGTTGCTAAACGACAGCGAGACAATGGAGACGCAACGCTTGAGGCCACGCCGCAGCTCAAACAGTCGGCTGCCATCCTGGGAGCTGAAAACGCGTATGACCGTGCCGCGTTCGCTGGCGGTGGCTATTTCCGTGCCCGAGGGGCTGAATGCTATGGCCGCCAGTGGTGTGTCGTGGGCTGGTATCATGGTCTTGGCATGCAAGTTGATGGCATCAAAGATCTGCACTTCGCCAGAGGTGACGCTGCCCGGATAGGCCAGATAGCAGTGCTCCGAGGACGAGGACAGAGCGCACAGACCCAACGGATTGCAGGGCGTGTCCCGTATGGTGTGCACCACCTTCATGTCCTGTATGTTGTGAATGTAGAGCGACTCCTCCAGGCAGACAATCAGGCGCTCCCGATTCAGCTTCACCGCCAGAATTGTGTTCGCGTACGAGTAGTTGCAGATCTCGCTCTGCTTCTTGAAGTGGCACACCTTCAGCTTGCGCGGCGCCCGCTGCGACACAATGGCCACCAAGGAGCTCTCGAACAGCCGCTCGATGAGGAATAGCTCATCGCTCTTGGTGTGATATATTTTGTCCAGTGTTGAGTCCACGGAGCCCAGGCTGTACAGGCTGTAGCCCCCGCTGGTGGCGACTGCAAGCGATCTACAGGGGGAGTGGCAGTAAAAACAAAAACCATGAAAAATCACAAAAATCTTCGAGAAGAGTTCCATTTCCTTCCTTACGTTATGTTTTGATTGAAGTTGACAAATACTTCGCCCGCATCGACATCGGGTCGGCCCAGCAGGCTCATCATCGTGCTGTGTGCAGTGTGCAACGGGTGCGGGGCGGGGCGGACTGAGGGGCTGCAACAAAATCAAACAAAAACCCTTGCAACATAAGTTTTAGCCACTGTTTTTAGTTCGTTGGCGAATATCTGCGCGGGCAGCGCAATAAATATGTTAATAAATACATGCACGTACATACATGTACGTATGTATGCTCGAATGTACGAATGTACACGTTGGGGATAGGGGCTGGCTGCTCTGCTGATAAAAGCAGCAACAACAAACAAAACACACACGATCTACGTGACTAAGGAGCGCTATTTTACCTCTTTGTGTAGGAAACGTTGGTTGTTCGCTCAATTTAGTATTCCACAGGACCACTCACAAGTTGCAAATTGTATAGTTTACTGAAGCTACGTAATATTTAATGATATTTGGATTTTTTTTGTCGCGCAATTGTTTTTGCTCTGTTTTGCACACACAAACACACCAAAACACCCACACATATGCAACTTGGACAGCAACAGAGCAACCAGGGCGGGCAAATAAAACAGAGCTCATGGTTGTATTTGGCTGGTCAGCCTCAGTGCTGCGAGGTGCCGTTACATACTTTCAGTATATTTCGAGAGTCAGACGGTATATTGATAAGTCCGCGGTCACACTGTGCAAACTATGCAGTTTTTTATATTTTTATTTTTAAGAACTTTTGTCTGAAATAAATTTAAAATGAGCAGCAGCCCATCCAGACGTAGGAAATAATGTGACTCGTGGCTCTGCAATAGAAGAATCGTGCCTTGTTCGAGCAAGTGTTAACCCAGCAGACGAGTAAAATCGATGCTTAATGCTGTCTTGTCTGCAGCGCACATCCATCCCACATCTTATGAGGATAGATGCATGTGCAATAATAATTAATAGTTAGTTCTACAAAAGCAATAACATACAAATGTCTAGAAATATTTAACCCGCCTGTAACACAGGGAAAGATACTTAATCATTTCTAATTGCCAAAGATGCAGACGGACAGATACCAAAAGCAATAACAAGGTGCTCGAACCAAAATAAATACATGCGCACATACATACATACACACAGAGCGATATGTATTACTGTTGATTTTTCGTTTATTAGCCATATTCGTTTGTACTTCAAATCTGTACTTCGGCTGATTACACAAAAGAGATCCTCTACAATTCTTTATGTAAGTATGTTAAGTATGTAAACAGACACCTTGGGGGATTGTAAGTGTGACGTTTGCCAAGAGTGATAAGGAAATGGTGAGCGCTTATCTTTCATCTCCAACCTGGCTGCTGCTGGTAGTCCCGTGTCGCCACCTCCTACTCTACCCCCCATCGTGTTCGCTTGCGCGCTTTTTTTTCCCTCTGACTTTTCTAATCAGCGTCGTCAGCGCTGTGCGTCGTGATTTGTAGTACCGTTAGCTTTGGGTTTTGGTACTCCACGCACGGTACCGTTATCACAGTCTGGTCTGCCCTGTGGTGTGTGTTTGTACTTTTCCACCGTTCGTCGTGGGGTGTTCCGTTCCATTCCGTACAGTCAGCCCACAGTCCGCGGCAGAGAGACGGAGACCAAGTAGGTTCGCCACCCATTGCATTTTTAATTGCATATTGTATATGTATGCATTTGTGCGCACCTTCCGCTCATTCTCATTAGGCATTGGTGCCGCACAGTGGTACAAACTCACGCAAAACTCCAATAGAAAAGAATGTTACGCAGGCGTTTCGAGTATCAGTGTCTGTGAACCACAGTGCGGCGCGTTTTGTTCATTAATTTTACAGCACGACAAGTTAAACTATTACCCTCTCAATCCGCCAGCTCAAATTCTCGAATATGTCCGACGGAGTGAGCATATTGCACATCAAGCAGGAAGTAGACACATCCTCGGCCGGAGCAGCCTGCTACAGTCCCACCTCCAAGGCAGCGACGGCGCAGAGCAACTCCTGCAACAGCAATAGCGGAATGAAGTCCTCCCCTTCCGTGTCACCAGAGCGGCAGCTGTGCAGCTCAACGACGTCTTTATCCTGCGATCTCCACAATGTTTCGCTGAGCAACGATGGCGACAGCATCAAGGGCAGCGGTGCGGGCAGTGGCAGCGGCGGGGGAGGCGGCAGTGGCGGAGGATCTGCCATCAATACCAGTGCCAATGCTGGCTCCGTTCGAGATGAGTTGCGTCGCCTGTGCCTGGTGTGCGGGGATGTGGCGTCAGGGTTCCACTATGGCGTCGCCAGCTGCGAGGCCTGCAAGGCCTTCTTCAAGCGCACAATCCAGGGAAACATCGAGTACACGTGTCCAGCGAACAACGAGTGCGAGATAAACAAGCGACGGCGGAAGGCTTGCCAGGCCTGTCGCTTCCAAAAGTGCCTTCTCATGGGCATGCTCAAGGTAACCTTGACGAACCCATTTCTAATCATTCTTCGGCTTCTAATTATTCACCAATTTGTGCTATCACAGGAGGGCGTGCGCTTGGATCGAGTGCGAGGTGGGCGGCAAAAGTATCGACGCAATCCCGTCTCGAACTCGTACCAGACCATGCAGCTGCTCTACCAGTCCAACACCACGTCGCTGTGTGATGTAAAGATACTTGAAGTGCTCAACTCTTACGAGCCGGATGCCCTCAGCGTTCAGTCGCCATCACAGCAGCCACACACGACCAGCGGCTGCAATGATGAGGCCTCCTCCTCGTCGGGAAGCATTAAGCTAGAGAGCAGCGGCGGTGGAGGTGGCAGTGTCAGCAGTGTGAGCGTCACGCCCAATGGAACATGCATTTTCCAGAACAACAACAACGATCCCAATGAGATACTCAGCGTGCTGAGCGACATCTACGACAAGGAGCTGGTTAGCGTGATTGGCTGGGCCAAGCAGATTCCCGGCTTCATAGAGCTCCCTCTCAACGATCAGATGAAGCTGCTGCAAGTGTCATGGGCGGAGATCCTCACACTCCAGCTGACGTTCCGGTCGCTGCCCTTCAATGGGAAACTCTGCTTCGCCACCGACGTCTGGATGGACGAGCTGCTGGCCAAAGAGTGCGGCTACACGGAGTTCTACTATCACTGTGTTCAGATTGCCCAGCGCATGGAGCGGATATCGCCACGTCGCGAGGAGTACTATCTGCTGAAGGCTCTGCTCCTGTCCAACTGTGACATTCTGCTCGACGATCAGAGTTCCCTGCGCGCCTTTCGCGACACCATACTCAATTCGCTGAACGATGTCGTCTACCTGCTGCGCCACTCCTCCGCTGTCTCGCATCAGCAGCAGCTGCTGCTCATTCTGCCCTCGCTGCGGCAGGCGGACGACATCCTGCGACGCTTCTGGCGTGGCGTGGCACGCGATGAAGTAATCACGATGAAAAAGTTGTTTCTGGAAATGCTCGAACCGCTGGCCAGGTGAAAGAAACATCGTAGAAGTCTAGTTGATCTAGTTAAGATAAGTTTGGGTGCAAATATAGACTTAAGATTGGACCTACTCCTTGTATACTAGTGTGCCTAGAGTCTAGAGTGTGTGTTTAAGCCGTAGAGTAAGCAATTGTAATTGTAAATACAATACATAGTTAGTAAATTACTTGTCCGGAGTATGATTAGATTGAAAAGAAGAAAAACGTTCTCTCTTTTTATTGTTAGCCCCGACTTAAAGCTAAAATTTACACTGGTTTAACTGGATGCAGGACAAAGTGCAGGCTTAGATCTACTCCCCCCCCCCACCAATGTGATCCATGGACTTATGGCATACGTGACTTATAATTAGTGCTATATCGATGGTCAATATTTACATTGTTTTTGCAGACTAGAGACGTTGCGTTACCAACTCCAAATGTTAGTTTTGGACCTTGGCATACAGGCACACACGAATTTACACTACATCTTAGACATATACACAGACAGATCTAGGAGTAATAGTTAGAGGCGACTTCGCTGCAAGTCGGGCGAATCAAAGTACTTGTTGGAGCTCTCTTGGAATCTATCGCTGCGCGCCAGTTCGTTGCGAAAGTAGGAGATAGTCTGCCGCAGACCCTTTTCGAGCGGCACCTTTGGCTCCCACTTCAGATAGTGGCGTGCGCGTGTTATGTCCGGCTTGCGTCGCTGTGGATCATCCTCGACGGCTTTGGTCTGCTTGATCATGCTCGGTCCGCCCACCAATTGCTTGATGATTTGGGCAAAATCCTCGATGCTCTGCTCCACGGGATTGCCCAGATTCACCGGCTGCGTGTAGTTGGATGCCATCAGAGCAATCATGCCATCAACCAGATCCGAAACGTACTGGAAGGAGCGCGTCTGCCGACCGTTGCCATAGACAGTGATGGTCTCGTTGCGCAGAGCCTGAAGAATGAAATTGGACACCACGCGGCCATCGTTCATGTGCATCCTCGGTCCGTACGTATTGAAAATGCGAGCCACACGAACTTGAACCTTTTCCTGCCAACAGAAACACAATGATTAAAGACATTATTCGAAGCAACAGATTGGTGCAGAGATGTTAGAGAAATCTTATCTCGATCCCCCATGCGGAACGTGAAACGTTGCACGCCAATTACAGCAGGCTAGTCGCTTCAGCATTCACAGAATTCCAATTCAAATCGTTTAATGCTTGAGTGGAGATCACATGAAATCAGGAAAATACTGCATCACATCTGGATGCGAGCCAGAAATGCAAAGTGCCGTCAAACCCATTCCCTTGCCTCTTTCACACTTACCTGTTTGGCGTACGCATAGCTCAGGGTCTCGGAGACACGCTTGCCCTCGTCATAGCAGGCACGTGGTCCAATTGGATTCACATGGCCCCAATAGGTCTCTGGCTGCGGATGAACTGTCGGATCGCCGTACACTTCCGAGGTGCTGGCAATCAGCACTTTGGCCATCACACGCTTGGCCAGTCCCAGTACATTGATGGTGCCCATGGTGTTTGTCTTGATGGTCTTCACCGGATTGTACATGTAGTGCGGTGGGGAGGCCGGCGAGGCCAGGTGGTAGATCTCGTCAATCTCAATGAACAGCGGATTGACAATGTCATGGTGGATGAGCTCAAAGTTCTCGTGTCCCAGCCAGTGCGCCACATTGCGCTTGCGACCAGTGAAGAAGTTGTCCACCACAATCACTTCGTGGCCCTGGATCATCAGATCATCCACGAGATGGGAGCCCACAAAGCCGGCTCCTCCGGTGATGAGAATTCTCTTGCGATTTTTGTAGTTTAAATATTTAACTTTGGGGTATTTGCGAGGCGTGCTGGTCTGGAGCGAGCGGATTTGCTCCTCCAACTGGGCCAATTGTTCTTTGGTGCGCAGCAGCTCCGCCCGCTGCTCTTTGATAAGGGAACTGTGGGCTTCGTACGCATTCTGCAGGCTCCTTTGCACAGCATCTTCGGTGGGTGGCCACTGGCCCTGCTGCTCCTCCTCGATGGGTCTGGATAGCCGTCCCACACCCACCGCCACTCCAACAGAAGGCACTCCGGCGGTGGAGGCGCTGATCGCTCTGTACAAGTAAACGACCAGCAGCAGGGAGA